TGGAAGGATGGCAGAGCCGTTCTGGGGGGTTAGATGATGAGGGGAGGAACAGGTTTTAGGGTCTGAAAGTCAAGAGCTCCATTTCAGGCACATCGAACTTGATGCCTATGAAATATCTAAGTGGCGACATTAAGTAGGTGTGTGGCCCTGTGAACGTGGAGCTCTGAGAGCAGTGGGGCTGGGTATAAAAACCTAGGAGTCAGGGAGAAGAGAATGGATGGTATGTAAATCTTCACCCCAGTCCCTACCTCTCCCTGTTGTCTCAACACTGGGTCTGAGTGTCTTCTGAAGTGGGCTTGCTTCAGCCACTCACATTGCCTGCCAGGTCACTGAGGCTTCATGCTCTGTGATCATGGTGTATCGACAGGGAGTATTCAGAAATAGCAGCCAAAACTTGGAATTAAGGTAAAAGGAGGCCAGCTTGTCATTCCAGTGTCCCACTGCAGTATTGTTTAAGAAACCCACCCCAGGACTCTTCCATCATCTAGGAGGAATACATTTATTTGACTTGACATTAACTATATACGTATGTAGTATGTGAATTACATGCTCGCTTGCAGATTTTTGGCAGGTAAAGATGCAACTCCATTGTTTATGGTTTTATAACCCTGTAGGGCATTAACTAGTTTTGACAGTGGCCAGAGAAAAGGCACAGGATCGTGCTGATTGGTCTCACCATAACTTCACCATTTCTTACTGGGATTACTCATGAAGACTCCCCAGGAATTCTCAGGAACATCAGTCTCTCTCTGCTCTCTGGGGCCACCGTTCCCCGACATCTCCTCATTTAGGCCCATGTACTCAGCCGCCCCTTCCTTCCTCTGGGATCCTGGCCAAGGCCAGAGAGGATCAGCACAGCTCTGGCCATGTTTGGGCATTTCACAGTGCTGTACTCTGGAGGGGGTTTCTCCATCAGTTGGGAATTTCACAGTGCTGTACTCTGGAGGGGGTTTCTCCATCAGTTGTGCTGGGTTCTTTCCACCTGGACCCTCGCGTCCTCTCTTCAGCTCTGGAAACTTTGCTCTATTATCCCTTTGACCATTTTCTCCCTTTCTTTTCCCTTTTTCCCTCTTTCAGGAATTCCTACTAGTTGGATGTTGGACAGTCTGGATGGAGCCTCTAGATTTTTTTTTTTCTCTCGCTCATTTTCTATTTGTGTATTTTGTTCTACTTTCTGGAAGAATACCTCAACTTTGTATTCCATCACTTCTATTTGATATTTTATTTTTGTAAAATAATCTAGTAGTCAGGAGCTCTTTCTTGATCTTGGTTTTTTCTTCAGAGCATCCTGCTCTTGCCTTGTCTCCCTGAGGATATTAGAGTTTGGGGTTATTATTATTTTTTTAAATGCTCTTCTACTTCCTGCATTGTCTCTGTTTTCTGTTCCCTTTCTTGGACTGGTTGATTTGGCCTCTTTCTTTCATGTTGGAAGCTTGCTTACCTTTTTGGTTTTTTTTGAGCTTTGATATTTGCAAATAGGAGGCTTTCTTGCCACTAATGAAGCAAAGACCCAGATAAATTCGTATCTAGTTTCTCTTATTCACTGGAAGCCTTCCTCAGTTGTCTGTGCTCTTTCCCCATGTGTGGTGCACACAGGACACGTGGTTGGTGGGTGTCATTATGGGATGTTGGGACAGCGATTCAGTCTTTGCATTGGGCAAGTATCTGGAGGTCTTTTCTCTGAAGCCAGTTTTTCCAAAGAAGAATGTTCCAGTCGGCTAGCCAGGAAAGACGCCTGGCTCTGGGCATTGCAGGAGCAGCGAGGGCGCCTGTGGTTGGGCGCTATGGAGGGCAGAAGCCCGCCTTCTCTCCTCCCACCTGCTTTCAGCCCCTTCCTCACAGGCTCCTCTGCGCTGCCTGGGGTCCCAAGTCCGGAGCATACCTGGATGACTCCTCCAGACAATAAATACCCAGTTCCTTACAAGGACTTGACAGCGTCAAAACAAGTGTCCTGATGGTGCAGAACAGGGGCAGAGGCTGGGGTCTGGGTCTCCATTTCCAACCTGATGGCCTGGCTCTTCCTCCCATCATTCTGGGGCCTCCTGCTTCTGAGCCGCTCCGGGTCCCTCGGGGCTGGCCAACTCATTTCTGTTCCATCTCCCCCTCTGCTCTGCTCATACAGTCACCACTCCATCAGCTTGTATCTGCCAAAGCTTTGCAAATTCTCTTATCTACTGCTGTCTCCTCCCACATTCATCGCATCCTTATAGTCATAATCTTTCTAGTCCTTTCCTGTCAATATAGTGGTATTTGGGGAGGAGAAGAGATAAATGTGTGTGCTCAATATACCACGTTTAATTGCAAGACTAGTTGCTTCAAAAAATCTAATTCTATTGACTCAATATTTTTTAAACTTCTTGATGGTATTTTTTTTCTAATTAAACACTTATTATTGATCTCCAGTTTTATTGCTTCAAGGCACAGAATGTGGCTCGAACTGTCTCTCTGGGCGACTTTCTGAGGTTTTCCTATCTCAGTACAGTCAACTTGGGGTAACGTTCCAGGTGTATTCGAAAAGAAGGTGTTTTCTCTCCAGCATAAGAGCTTGATGTACCCCTGCTTACTAAACCTTATTCATTATTAAAATATCCTGCATTCTTACTGTCTCCTTGATCTATAATAAACTAATACTGGTGGTACCTTAGTCTCAAATGCAATTGTATTTCTGTCGATTTTTTCCTTTGCATTTTCAGCAGGTTTTTTTTTTTCCTATTTGATGCTACTTAACCCACCTGTGGAGGTTCACAGCTTGTGTACCATCCTTATGAATGCCTTCTGTCTTCAACAGGAAATGATCTCTCTGTCCCATTCATTGCTATTCCCTTGAATTCTACGCTCACTGTCTATGTGGCACTGCCCCAGCAGAGGGATGGTGGCCCCCGAGGTTGGGGGCTGGGGACAGCGGTACGGAAGCACCGAGGGGGCCCATGGGTTTGGCAATGAGGTGGTGGAGGCGTGGGAGATGCAGCTAGGTTACAGGGGGCTGGGGAAAGAGCGGAGGTGAGGAGGCGGAGGCAGCAGGTCCCTGTAAGCAGAACACTCTAAAGAAGGTTGGCTGAGGGGGAGGGAAGAAACCCCAGCCAGGAGCAGGTGAGGAACAGATGGGAGACCCGGCACGCTTTAAATGTGGTAGGAAAGAGCGGTGAGGCTGAAGATTTAGAAGCCATTAAGGCAGCAAAGGGGGAGGGGTAGGGCCCTGGCCAGGGGCTGCCTCAGGAAGGAAGAGGGTCGCCTTGTCTCCTGGGGCTCCAGGGGTGAGGGCTGGGGAGCCAGACTGGTGGTGGGTCAGGGAAGGGTCAGTGGGGCAGCACGGCTCTCATGCAGGGAGAGCATCTGGCTGGGATCTGAGGAAGGCAGTGTGGCTAACCTGGTGGAGGCTGGGGGAGGAAGGCCTAGCTGGGAGTGGAGGCAGGAACATGAAGGGCATGGTGGGAACCGGGGGCGTTTTCGCTTGTCTCCCGCAGTGCTCAGTGGCCCAGAGAGCTCGGGCCTTTGCGTAGACCCAGGGCCGATGTGGTCAAAAAATAGTGTCAAGGGAGGGGTTGAGGAGGGAGATGACAGGGTCTAGGCTGGTGGGGAAGGCAGTAAAGGCGCAAGGGGCCTGGGGACCATCTGGGGCGCAGATGGATGGGGAGGGCCTGACGGGGGTGAAAGCCTGATGCCTGCCATTACAGACAACAGATGATGCTTCTCTAAGAGGTGGGAGGTGAGGACAGCCAAGGGTGTGGCCCCAGGGGTGGCTGGTGAAGTGGAAGGCGGGGTCCTCAGAGGAGACTAGAGGTTGAGAACGCCCGGAGAGGCCAGGGTGCTGGGCAGGTGGCTGCAGTCAGCCAGGCTGAGGGGGGGTGTGGGGGAGGGGTGCAGTGAGAGGAGCGACGGGGCAGGCAGGGACGGCAGGGCAGGGCAGGGCAGGGCAGGGCAGGGCAGGCGTGGGGAATTCACATTTCCTAATGGCTGAGTCTCCGGGAACAGAGGTTTGGGGAGCAGGATGCAGCCCCAGCTCCTTCCACAGAACCACACAAGTCTGGAGCTATCCCTGGGCTCAGACAAGGGGCCCTGGGGAGTCAGGCTGGGGAGCGTGGACAGTGGCATACAGCTCCCTTGCACCCCAGGCCCCTGCCTCAGAGCCAGCCCTCCCAGCGGCTTCAAGGGCGAGCACAGGAGCAGCCCGGGGGCTTCTCTGGGAATGCTGGACAGAGGCGCTCTCGAGTCCTGGCAGGAGCAGAGGCAACCACGCAGGTGACAGACCTGGGTCTTCGCCTGGAGATTTGAGCAGCTGCAGCCCTGCCCCCTACAGAACCGCGGTGCCTGTGTCTGTGTTGTTTCTGCGGGGCTGGGCTGGGGCCTGGACTTGCCTGCTCTGAGCCAGGCTCCCCACGCGTCAAAAGAGGATGCACTGACCCTCGGGGTTGCTGTGTGGTGCCAAGGCCCTGCTGAGCAGGACCCAGGGCTTCAAGGGCCCCTGTGCAGAAGTGCAGCCAAAGGGGCTTGGGGGTTGGCTTATTCCCAGTGAAGGTCCTGGGCTCGGCGCTGCAGGTGCGTGTGGATCAGGAGAGACCAGGAGTCGGGCCTTCCAGGCATTGGAAGCTGTCACCACCAGCTGGTGGCCCTGGACCAACCTCTTTCCCTCCCTCAGTCTCCCCTCCTGGAGGCAGATTTCAGGGAAAGCACCTGACGCAGAGCCTGGCAGGAGCAGGGGTCGCTGCAGGGCAAGTGCAGGGGCCGCACGGCCCCCCTGGGAGACTAAGGGACCAGCACAGACCTCCCGTCCAAGCGTGTCAGAGCCAGGGGGAAGCCAGAGGAGTGGGGGACAATCCCAGGTCGCTCAGTGAGCTGAAATCACCACTACCACTGGCTTCAGGGGTCTCCCCTGCCCACAACTGCCACCAGCATGAACCAAATGCTAGGGTCCCTTGGTAAAGGACAATATCGGCCCACGACTCCAGGGTGACCCCTGGAAAATCTCCTGAGACACAGCTGAATGGAGAGGCGAGTCAGGCTTAAAATAGCTAAATAAATCTTTAATATTTCTAATTGCAAATGTACAGAAATTGCACAGCCACACAGTCTTAGAACACCAACGACTTTCTCTGTACATTATTACATAGTTAAAAGTCCTGGCTGGAGGGAGGAGCTCCGGCCAAGACTCCACCGTTTGCATTTTCTCCTTTTCACATACTTACAAAAGGGGAGGAGGGAGGCGGTGCGGGGGCTGGGGCGGCTTTGGGCCGAGTGTGTAGAAAAGAGGAGCTGTTTCCCTGGACTGTCTGCCTTCCGCAAACGGACGGGGTGGAGGAGAGAGGTGTACCCGGGGCAGGTGCTCTGTAGGGTGGGGGGCACTGGAGCTCTGCCCTTGGTTCCCCACGCCCCTTTCTGGGCAGTCGGAAAAGAGTCTTCCCTTTAGGAAGTTTGGCAGTTTCCTTCACCCGAAACATAGAAGATTAGCAAAAAAGTCAGGCCTCGCGTGTCAGCAGGGGAGGGAGAGCCTCCTCCAGCAGAGTCTGGGCCTGGGGCCCGGGGGCCTCGGTCTTCCCCGAGCAAGGACTGCCCTCCCTCACTCCCCACCCCGGGCCCTCTGCCAACCAGCTCTGCGGCAGGCAGCGTCCAACACCAGGACACGGGTTCTCTGCGGCCCCAGCAGGAGGAGCCCCCCTTTGCTGGCCCAGTCAGGGCACATGTCCTCATCACCCCCACCCAGACAGCACACTGCAAAGCCAACAAATAAATGCCACGGGCAGGGAAAAAACCCCAACACCCAAATCCCAAACCTCTTCCTCCTGCCCAATACTGTTCTCTAGATTAAAAAATAAAATAAAAACCATCGGAGAGCAGCGGTCCCGGGCAGCCCTCGGCAGCACCAGGACGAAAGGATTATGTACATCCATTAGGTGAAATAGGTACATTACAGTCAAACACCAAGAACATTTACAAAAATCATCAGACTTGCAAGTCAGATAAAAATCTGTGAAGAGTCTGTACACTTTTACAGTTTTTGCACTAGGTAAATAAGGCTCTCGGCCTGAGAGCTCACAACCCGCGCCAAGGGCGCCAGCACTGGCCACCGCGCTGGCCTCCTGCGCCCTGCTGTCCAGGCCCTGGGACCCTCCCCCTGTATTGCTAAGAGGTGCTCAGTCCGAGGTCACTCTAAGAGGCATCGGTGGGAGGGGGTAGAGGGAGGAGGGGAGGGCTCATTGGGCAGTGTGGGTGCGAGACTGAACCAGAGGACATCACGGGGGCCAGGCCCTGCCTGTGAGGCCAGGAGCGGGGACAGGGCCTCAGCCCCACAGCCTTCCTTCCTGAGGTCTGTGACCCCTGATGGTCCCCTCTCCCCACCAGCATGTCTCCGGCCTAAGTGAGCTACAGGTTTCATCTCAGAGCCCCCTCCCAGAGCACAGGCCCAGGACGGGTGCAGTGGGGTCTGGGCCACACCCCCTCACCCCTCCTGGTGGGTTCTGGGGCAAGTCAGGCCCTGGCAGCATGTCTCCAGCCCCAGGGGCAGGAGGTGCTCAGAGGTCTTTCCAAGGGTCTCCTCAGCTGGCTGAGGCTGAGGCTGAGGCTGAGGGGTGGCTCCTGACTCACCCAGCTCTGCTCCACCGTGGGGCAAACGCCCAGCTCTTGCCCCAGATCACCAGGGCCGGGGCTGGGAACAGGGAGGAACGAGAGAGACCCAGGCTCCTGCCCACCTGTGTCCCGCGAGGGGCGGCGGGAGGGCTGAAAAGCTACACAACAGCCTAGAGCTGAGGAAAACCAGCCCCAGCTGTGGGTGTGCCCCCCCTGTCTGCAGCGCCTGGGTCCTCGGCTGGGCCGGGAAGGGTGAGGAGGCCGCCGCACGCACGGGGCCTGGTGCAGGCCGCTGCTGTCTTGGAGAGGGAGCAAGTCTAACATCCTCCAGGGCCGCTATTTCCCATGCAGTGCGCACGCTCAATTTAAAAGGCCCCTGTGTTCCAGCAAGCGAGCAAGCGGGCTTTTGTTTCTAATGCATACTGTGAAAGGAAAAAAAGTCACAGTTATCCACCTTCTCAGGGCCTGCAGGCGTTAGAATTTTCTTAACCCATCAATCAGGAAAGATCAGCCTTTCTCTCAGGGTGAGCACCAAGGTGGCCGCTCCCTGGAGGGCCACTGTCCCCTGGCTCCCTAGCCCCAGGAGAGCGGAGGCACCACGTGCAGTGCCCTCTGGGCCTACTCTGCCCAGATCTCTGGTTCGGGGAGCCCCAGAGCATTGGCCTGGGCTGTGGGGCAAGCGAGGGAGGCTCTGGATCCTCCCCGCAGGTGCGAGAGCCCAGAAGAAAGAGCCTCTTTTGGTGGAACGAGTAAGAAAGGGAGGGAGGGAGGGGAAAGGCAGGAACTTTGGGGACAGGGTGACTCCTTGGTTCCTCACAGCCAGGAGGGGTCTCCGGCAGGCTATACGCGGTGGCAGGTGTGCAGGGTGGAGACGGGCAGGGGCTACGGAACTCTGGCAGCTCCATCCTCCCCACCCTCCCCACGCCTGCTGACCAACCTGTCAGCTCCTGGAACCGAGGGGCAGGTCCCACAGGGCAGGGGCCTGGCTGCCAGGGAGTCCTGGGCCCCTGAGGAGGTGAGGGAAGCCACAGGGGCAGGCCCCTGGCTCTTTAACCCTCCACCTCTCCGGACAGCTCCCTCCCTAGGGAGGGTGTGGGGGTACATGCACCTGGCCAGCTCAAGGAGGAAAGGTGACACGCACCAAATTCAAGAACCAACAGAGACAAATCTTGGCAGGCCCCCTGTTCCCACCAGGCTGTCCCCACTCCCCAGCGTGCAGTCTCTTTGGCCTGCACCGAACACGCTCCTTGGGCTGGAAGAGAGGGGAGCGGGCTCGCGCAGTGTCAGTCTCTCGCGGCTCCCTCTGTGGCCGCCTCTCGGACCGCGGGTGGAGGGAAGGGGGCGGCCGCCTGGCCTCTTGCCCCCTGTGCTGGGGCTGCGACTGTGGGGGCGCTCCTCCCCAGGCCGAGACCCTGCCCTGGGCCACCACAGTCCTCCCTCTCCTTGGGCAGGCTCCTCCCTCCTCGGGCAGGTTAACAATTGCTGCTGTTTCTGAACTCGCCGTTCTCAGTAATCTGCAATTTGGTGGGGTTGGTGGGGGAGATGCCGTTACGGGCTTGCATGCTGTACCTCTCTTTCAGCTGGGTCAGGGCACTCATGAGGCGGGCGTTGGCGGCATCCAGTGAGGCGATGCGCTTCTCCTGTGGACAAAGAGGGTGTTAGCCTGAGGTCACGGGCTGGGCTCCTGGGCCAGATGGGGACCGTGCAGGGCAAGGGACCTCCCTGGGGCTGTGCACACCTACAAGAAGGAGGGGGCGGAAGGTGGCCTGCAGGAGACGCAGGATGACAGGAGCGCACAGCGTGCAAAGCGTGGGAAAGGCATCAAGGCTGTGGAGCAGCGGGCGTGCTGGGGAGCAGACGGCCTCGCCATGGGAGACCAAGACCTCCTGAGTCTGCCTTCCTAACATCTTGACCACATCGCCTGCTTCTCGTCCCGAACAGAACAGCTCTAGTGCTGTCCTCTGTCAGCCACCCTAGGCCCCGAGGGCAGGTGCTGATGTGCATGTGCAACACACAGAGGTCACAGCTCCTGGTGAGTCTGTGCACTTACAGCCTGAGCAAGGCCCGACCCTATTCCTGGGTGGGTGAGAGGAAAACGCACAGCCTTGGGTGAAGGAGATTGGAGGCTAGTCTCTTACATGTCTCCCCTCTCAACACAGGAAGCCACAGCTCTGAACAAGAGCCCCCCCTGCTTCCTCTGCCCAGCCTGCTGTCACCCCCAGTCTTCCTCATTCTCCTCCCAGTAGCTTCCACTCTTTGGTCAGTACCCCTGGTGAAAGGCAATACCCACCATGTTGTCCCAGCAGGGGGGGAGTTGCCCCACCTCTTTCACAGCTTGTCCTAGCAAGCTTGTGGTCCACTGAGACCCTCAAGTCTGACTTCTCAGAGCAGAGATCCTGGTTTCCTATTCCTTCTCAGCTTGTGCAGTGGGGTATGATGGAGGACATGGAAAAGCCAAAGTCACGCCCTCTTATCCTAAGTCCTTTGACACCTGTGGCTGACCAAAGGGCCAGAGCCCCCCACCTGGGCATCGATGATCTTCTGTTTGGAGTCTACAGCTGCTTGCATCTCCGCATGGTCCTTCTTTAGCTCCTCCTCCACTGACATCAACCTGCGACCAGAGACAAGGACAGTCAGGCTGGCACTTGAGGAAGCAGGTGAGGGGGTGGGTGTGGGGACTGGTAGGAACAAGCCATCCCACCTGCACAGAGGACATACGAGGACAGCCCCTCTGTGGGCCATAGACTCACCTCCCGCACATGCCTGTGACAGAGCCCTCTAGCTGGCCCCTACCTGACAGGGGCTGGGCCTGCTCCTTCCTTACACTTCGCCTGCCCCAAATTCTGTCCCCAAATCCCCAGACGCCCCAGGGCTGCCCCTCTCCTGATGTTCTTCCAGGAGCCAAGGGGGTAGGAGTGGGTGTTGGACGCCCCAGAGCCAGGCAGGTGGTCTAATGTCATAGGACTCATGGTATGGGTGGGAAGACGAAGGGCCTGAAGGGCTCTAGAACTTTCTCCACCCACTGTGTTCACCAAGGCTGTGCTGGGCACTCGAGGTAACGAGATGAAGGAGTGTAGTCCTCCCCCTCATGGAATTCACAGGGCAGCAGGGACACAGACAAACAGTAGCTACGCCCTGCACGGGAAGCTCAGCGACCAAGGGAACAGAGAGCAGGAAGTAGCTGACTATCCCGGAGACGGGGGAGTTGGTGGTGCACACAACGAACTGGACGTTAGAAGGGCAAGTCAGGTCTGCAGGTGGGGTAGTGAGCAGAGCAGATGGAAGCACCTTCTGCAGGAGCTCTGAGCTAAGGCAGGCGTGGGTCTGTCATGGGCTGCTCCTTCCCTGAGACCCTTCCTGGCCACATCTTACTTGTCTCTCATGCACCTGTCAATGGCTGTTAATCGCTCCCCCCTTCCAACTTTCTTCCGTTAACTTCCACATCCCACACTGTCCGGGTTTGCCTCCGCTTTGCAGACACCTTGTCCTGTCTGCCCCTAGGACACCAGGGCTCCACAGGCCTCTGCTTCAGCCCTCCGTTCTTCTCCCTCTACACACTCTTCTCACACAAGCTCATCTACTCCCAAGGCTTCATTTCAGTCTCTACCTGCACAACTTCTCCAGCCCAGCAGAGCAGTCCCCTATCCCCTGGGCAAACACCTGGCCTGTTTCACAGTAGATGCACAGGCAGGTCAGCGGTGCTGGGGAGGGATGCACGGGGCTGTCGTGAGAAGTCAGTGGCTCAGGGGTCAGGGAGCACTGATCAGGAGGTAGGGGTGTGGGGCCACCCCAAGGGGGATTCCGTGTCATAGGACGGGAAGTCACTGAGCAAACAAAGCCTGTAAGGTGGAGGAGGGGAGGGATGGGGAGGAAGGCCCTCAGGTGGTCTCAACCAGAAGGGAGATTACACTCGGGGAGAGACTTCTGTTTCCAGCTACAGTGTGACAGCAGAGACTGGATTTACCCTCCTGCCATTAAAAAAAAAAAAAACCAAACTAGAAAACCAAACAAAGTATATGAAACAAGGGTTTCCAGACACCAAACAACAGGCAGTGCAGTGACTCCCGAGAGAAGGGACCGTGAGGGGAGCCCTGCTCACTGTCTGGAGAGTCCAGGCTGAAGAAAAGGAGGGATGCGATGTTACAGAGTGGAGGAGATGCTCGAGGGCAGGGAGGCAAAGGGGCTGGGACTCTCGGGGCAGTGCCAGAGAGGAGGAAGATGCAGACAGAACTCCACATATCTCCTGAGGGGTCCCCTTGGGTCTTTGGCCAAGGGCTGGTCTGCACGCCTGTGAGAAAAGAGCCAGGCCAGGAAGCTCCACTGGGAAGGAGCACTCAAGACAACCCAGGAATAAACAGCTCACGTTCCTTCCAGACAGAGTGGAAAGACGTGCTAACAGGGGCATCAAGCAGAATGCCCAGAAGGAAACTGCCTCAGCAGGGGAGCCAGAGCAGGCCCAGACCGAAGGTCGCCCAGGACTCACTCCAACAGAGCTGAGAAGTAAGCCTCAAAGGAGGCAGACTGACCCCACGTAACATCATTGTGTTCCAGAACAAAGCTCCAAATACTTAAAGGAACACAAAACGTCCAGCACCTACGTCAAATTCACAACGTCTGGAATCCAACCAAAAAATCCCTAGCATGCAGAGAAGGAGGAAAATATAACCCATAACTAGGAAGAAAGTTAATCAACAAAAAGAGGCTCAGAAATGTCACAGATGATAGAATTAGTAGACAAGGACATTAAAACAAATAAATATATTCCACATGTTCAAGAAAATAGAAGAAAGCATGAGCATGAGAAGAGAAACGGACAGAATTTAAACCAAACTGCAAGTCTAGAGGCGAAAAATATATCTGACATGAAAAAAATACTAGACAGGATTAATAGCAGACTAGACATTGAAGAAGTGATTAGTCAACTCAAAGACACAGTAATAAAAATTACCCAAAACACAGAAAAACAAAAGAGAAAAAGGAAAGAAGAGCGCATCAGTGGGGACAATACAGAGCAGCATAACATATGTGCAATGGGGGGGGGGTCCCAGAAAACAGACTGGGCAGGTGGGACTAGATAACCACAGATCTGAGAGCTCAACAAACCCAAGAAATATGAAGAAAATCACACCCAGCACATCATAATCAAACTGTTGGCAATCAGCGATAAAAATATAAATCTTAAAAACAGCAAGAAAAAAAGGTACACTAAGTACAGATGACAAAAACAATGAGAGTCCCCACTATTACAGCCAGAGTGAGGGCCGAATCGGTGTGGCTATCTGCCACACCATACAAACAGTTCCGCTATAGCACCAGGGTTGAATAGTTACAACCAAAACCCTACAGCCCAAAAGCTTAAAATATTTATTATCTGCCCCTTTACAGAAAGTTCTCAACCCCTGTCCTAAAGCCACAACAGAGATATAGCTAATATGCCAATAAAGAAGACAAAATGGAATCATAAAAAGTACTCAATCCAAAAGAGGGCAGGAAAAAAGGGAACAAAACAGATGGTACAAATAGAAAACAAGTAACAAGATAATAGGTATAAACATAAATTATACTGACAACTATATTAAATGTAAATGGTCTAAACACTCCGATAAAAAGGCAGAAGCTGTTGGATTAGATAAAAAGCAAGAACCAATAATAAGGTGTCTGTAAAAGAAACTCACTTTCTATAGAGACATAGATGGGTTAACAGTATAAGGATGGAAAAGGATATACCTGGCTAACACTAATCAAAATAAAGTTGGGGCAGCTGTATTAATATCAAGCAAAATAGATTTCAGAGCAAGGAATATTATGACAGCCAAAGGAGATTTTATAATAATAAGGAGGTCAGTTCACCAACAGTACGCAACAATCCTAAATGTGTGTGCATCTGGGAATGGCGTTTCAGTGTAAAGCAAAAACCAACAGAAATGAAAGGGGAAACAGACAAATCCATGATTATGATTAGAAACTTCAATATCTTTTTCTCAATAAGTGACAGAACAACAGTAAACAAGTAGACAAAAAACCATAAGGATATAGAAGACTTCAACAATGCTATCCACCAAATTGAGCTAACCGACATTTCTGTTAGGGAGCAAACATACCACGATTGGCTAAAAATACATGTTAAGTGAGCCACTGAACTCAGGAGAGCATGCACCCCTCAGAGAATAGACACAAAGAGGAGGAGGTGGTTAGGTTGAAAAGTACTTCTCTTCTTGAAAGCACACAGACGAGCTGAGCCAAGATCAGAGCTGGCGTCAAGTGAACAGTGGGTTGCTAGTCACCCTGGTTAAAAGCCCTCTGCTCATGCTAACCATTTTACAATGAAAAAGCACACAGGTAAATGAAGCAAACAATATTTAGGCGCAGAGAAACAGGTGGTCTAAATAGGAGGCATTTGGGAAGGGTTTTTGCAGGGAACAAAGCATGAGGCCAGGTCCAGGAGTGTCCCGGCTCCCGTACACCTGCTAATCTATGCTGCTGATGAGCTCTTGTACCACATACACGAACAAGCTGTAAATCCACTGTCTCCTCTTTACCTGATATTACTGTCGTAAGGAAGTAAACTCCAGGACTGGGACCCTTGGGGTTGGCCTGGACACTACACCTTGAGCAAACTCCCTGCCTGCCGATACTGATGAGGGTGTGCCCACTGGAGCCATAGGGAGTCGGGGCGGGGGAGGGGGGATCAAGACAGGACATGATATAAGCCATCAATAAAGACGAGAGTCAGCATTAAAGCCAACGATCCCCCTGGAAATCTTTCCCAGATAATCCACAGGCACCTTAAAATTCAACATATCCAAAACTGCCATCGTCATTCTCCTCCCTCCCCACCCAAAACGCTCCTCTTCCAAATTCCCCAGCTCAGTAACTGATACCACGACACACCGAGATGCTCTTGGTAGAAATCTGGGGGTTATTCTGCCTCCTTCCTCCCTCTCACCTCCCACCGTCACCCACTAAATGTATCTGACCGTTCATTCCTACTTCTGCCCTGCATCACGTCCTCACTGTCTTTCCTGGCACCCCCAATACAGCTTCTATACTCCCCTGAGTGCTTACCAAGAAAACATGACTCCCTACAAGGCCACAGCCCCTCCGTGAGCTGGCCTTGGCTGATCTCACTTCTGCCATGCCCAACTTTGCATTCTGCCATCAACATACACTGCACCGTGTGGGGCTCCCCACACTCCAGGCCACCTCCTACCTCCAGGCCTGTGCCACACTGTCCCCACTGCCTGGGATGCTCTCTTCCCTCCTCTCTCCACAATGGCTCATCCCACAGCTGATCAGCCCCTGCCTCAATCAGGAGGGCAGTGGACAGGTCTGCCCCTTCTGTGCACGTGGGGCCAGGACTGGGTCCAGAGCAGGCCGCCCTCACCTGCTGATGATGCCCTTCATCTGGATGTCCTTGTCTTCCTGCTGCCGCCGTAGCCGCTCCTCACCCTCCTCGAGCCGTGCCTGGTACTCCAGCACCAGCTTCTGCGTCGTCTCCTCCTGGCACTTGAACAGGGTCTCATACTCCTCCAGCTTCTTGGTGGAGATTCGCAACTTGTCCTGCAGCACTGCCAGGTCCTGCCAAGAGGGCAGCGTGCCGTGGGCACAGCACCCAGGACAAGAGAGCACAGCCTCATGAGCCCGAGCAGGAGCGCAGGGTGGCAGGGAGCCCAGCTCGGAATGCCCAGGGGCCATCGCCATCCCAGCCCACTTCACACAGCGAGGAGACGCCCAAGGAGCCCAGACGGAGGGGACCGAGGTCTCTCCCCGATCCGGGGCTCTCCCCACTCCACTCTCCTGCTCTCCAGCCTGACCTTACAGCTATGAGGGGGATGAAGACTCAAACCCAGATCTCAGGAGTAAGGGTTTAACCAGGGCCTTGGGCTTCTCATAACAAACCTAGGTTAACAGCACCTTTGGATATATTAAGGAGATGTGACAGTGCCCTGAGAGGAGGGGGCTCCACCGGAGGGGAAACTGAGGCCCAGAAGATGAGGTGACCCAGTCACACAGAGAGGGACCGACCAGTGGGGCAAGACCGCAGCCGCCCAGGCTCTATTTGACCCTGAAGCCAGGGCGGTGGCACAGGGAAGCAGGGGAGAGAGAGGTTCAAGGCAGGGTGGTTCTGGGCTTTCAGGAGCTGAGTCAGCCCTGCACGCTCAGCCTTTGGGGAGAGGGGGGATGTGTGAAGCGGCAAGAGAAGCAGCGAGCTGGAAAGCTGGGCAGGCTGGACAGAGGGGCAAGGCAGAGTCGACACCAGCATCAAGGAGCTGGGGGCCAGGGGCCGTGAGAACACAGGGACTGAGGGAGGCAGGAAGAGCCTCGCCTTGAGTCTTGGCCTCAGGAGCCCAATTCACTCATCAGCAAAGGACCACCCAAAGGTCAGGAGGCAGCAGATCCAGAGACTGGTAAGGACCCAGCCCCACCCCAAATCTGATCCCCTGAGGCAAGGCTGGACCCATAGGAGAGCCTAGCTCCAGGAGAAGTGGCCCATCACAGACTTCCTCAGCTGCCCAGAGAAGGGCAGAGAGGGGCAGGGAGGGCCCTCCCTGATAGGCAGGACCAGGTCTCTAGGGAGCTCAACGGAACAAAGGCCTCCTGGATTTGCCCGTGAGCGTTGTTAGCAGCAAAGAGGGTGAGAGAAGCAGCCACTCACTAGCTCAGCCAAGGAACAATGAGGAAAAGGGACACCCCAGCTGCAGCCTGACCCCTGCAATTGTTCGGGCAATCCCTGCAATTCGCAAAGGGAATCTGAGTCTCAGAAAGGTGCAGAGCCTGGCCCTGGGTTCAGGCAGGGAGCCTGGGGGAGGGGAGCCTGGCCCTCCTTGCTCCCCAGCCTAACTCTGGCTCTTGGAGCACGGCGCCCCATGTCCCCTGGTCCCCTTCACGTAATTATGGTGAAAGCGGGTGGATGCAGTAGACCAAGGGGATGGTGGGGGGTGGCAGAATGCGGCATGGGCATGGACCTCACTCTGGGCAGGGGGAGGGAAAGCTGCACCCTGACTCCATGCCTTTGCTGGAGTGGCTGCTACAGGCTCTCCTGGGGCCAAGAGGGGGATACCCGTGTAAGTGGCAGATGTGGCTGCTGTTCTGGGGGGCCTCGCATGGGGTCTTGTGTCTACCTGGGCTTTGGCCTCCAGAAGGAGACAAGAACCAGCCATACAGATCCAGGGCAGCTGCCACAACAAGTGGGAGAATTCTAGAAGACAGAAGGACCCCACTGTGCCCCCAAAAACTAGACATGTAAGGTGGGCTGGGATGTGGATATTTTAGAATGTCCAACTTTTTTTCCCCTGGGGGAAGAAAACATCTCAGTAGCAACTTGACCTCCCCTCTCGCCCGCCCAGCTGGCTCCTTCTCTCCCAGGCCCTGGTGGTGACCGGGGCTGGGACAGAGCCGGGCCATGGGAGCACAGACCCAGAGGGGCGGGGGCCTGGCTGGGGTAGGCTCTCCCAGCCATCTCAGAGACCCACTGCCTCTCTGCCTCCACCCATGAGGCTCCCCAGGTGTCCGTGCGCCTCTTGGGCACCCCTGGCCCTCAAGTCTCAGATGCTCAGGAGCTTGGCTGCCTGGTCACTCGGGGAAGGGGCCTCCCAGAGGTCTGATGACCAGGTCCCAGGAGTCTGGACTCAGTATAATTCCCAACTGAGTCTCAGGTGCAGCCCGCACAGGAAACGTCAGGTCTAAGCTAAACCCCTTTTGCTGCCCTTCTTCCAGATGCCACTGTCCGCTGTCCTCACATGGGACTGGAGGCTGAGAGGGGACTGGCCGCTGGCAGAACAAGCAGCGCCCCTCAGCCAGGGATCTCGGGGTGAGAACCCTGCCAGCTGCCGCAGGGAGGCAGCCCCACCCTGCCCCCACTGCCAGGGTCAAGCTTTACCTTTTCTGCTTGGCTGAGCTCCTCCTTACTCCTTAGCCTATCCCTGTGGGGGGGATCTGGGCCCAGGCCCTCGTCTTCTAACAACTGCGCGTTCATGGTCAAAAGCCAAGCAGCCGTGCGGTCCAGGGCATTGGGGCTCACAGGTGAAGGGCCCTATAATGAAACACAGCTGTGAGGGGCTGGAGGGAGGCAGAGGGGAGGGGGCGGGGAGCGGCACCAGATGAGCCACGGGGACAAGTGTCTCAGAGGCAGGGTAGGGAGGGGACCTTCAGTTGACCAGGCACCTGCCCACGCAGCCCTGACAGAGGGGACCCCATCTCTCAGAGGCAGCCGGAAGCAGGCAAGAGCTGGGAGGCCTGGTGAGTGCTGCTCTCTGCTGCCCAGGCGAGGGCGGGCGGGCTCAGCCCCTGCAGGCTGGGCGTTCAACCCAAAGCACGCCCGTTCCACGTGCTGCGTGAAGCCCCTGGTGACAGGAGACGCCCATGCACTGCAGCCGGGGAGCCCTGAAGGCCAGCTCAGCCTGTGAGAGCACTCCAGGGAGAGGGGCCTGGGGGCCTGTGAGGACAGGTCGAATCCTACCCTGGGTAGGGCTTTAACAGGCTTGCAACTGGAGATGGGTGGACCCCTCCCTCATCCTCCCTGACCGCAGCTGTTCCTGGGGAAACTGGCAGAAACCTTAAGGCAGCAGTGTCCCTGCTTCCCAGGATTCAGGCAGGGGCCAGTGGGGCCCGGGAGGAGGGGAGTGGTAGTGTGTGTGGCAGGTTGGTGGGAGGGGCTGAATGTGGCCTCGTTCAGCATGGGATGGAGCTGGGTACAGCTGAAATGATGGGGAGGAGCAGCATGACAGGGGGTATGACGGTCCCCCAGGCCCGAGAGCCTGGCCTCCGACCGGCAGCACTGACCTGCTTGTGCACCGCACGAGGCTTCAGCTCAGGGCTATCGCCCTTGGAGGAGGAGGACTGTTGCCGCAGCCGGGCTCCAGGGCCAGCCCAATCAGGCGAGGCCGATGCCAGGGTTCCGCTTGAGGGCCGTGGGTACTGCAGGGTGCTCAGCAGGGTGGGTGGCGTCCGGCCACGCGGGGCAGGAGGTGGTGGAGGCGGCGGGGGTGGAGGCTGATCGATCCTTCGCTGGGGACCAGCGCTGTTCTGCCTTGGCACCGTGGGCTGCCCGGCCTTTTCAGTCAGCGACATCTGCCGCCGTGCCAGCTCCCCAGGCCGCCGCCCAAGCTCCTCGGCAGCACTGCTGAAACTTCCCAGCTTGGCAGCAGCCGCCAACTCCTCACTGTTGCTGTGGGAGCTCAGGGAGCTGTGACCCTCAGAGCCTGAGTCGCCAAGGCCACGGGGCGACAGCGGCAGGCCAGCCGCCATCTGGTACACGGGGTTCTGGAAGGAGAGCGGTGCCAACAGCTGGGGCCGGCCTGGTGCGCCTTCGGAGGTACCCGGCGTGGTTGGCGTCTGGCCTGCCCGCCGGACAGTGGCCAGCCCTGCCAGGCTCACTGGGGCTGCCCGGGCTGGCCACCCAGCCACCAGCTGAGTTGCAGGTGTCTGCCCGTCGGTGGTGAGGGCGTCAGGGCCCGCCGGGGAGCCCGCCTCCCCGTCCAGCGTGCGGGCGTCTTGGAGGTCCACCATGGATAGGCTCTTGCCACCGTTGGCCATCTGAAGATCGGGCTCGTTGGCTTCCGAATAACTCGAGCTGCGGGCAGGTGAGGGCTGGACCCCGGAGGACCTTGTGACAAAAAACAAGTCCTTGTTTTCGGGGGTTGGAGACGGTAACCGGGTGAAATCTATCAGACTGCAGGGAGACAAGCACACACAGGGAAAGAAGGGGGAAGAGAAGAACTGTGAATGCAGCCAAGGCGGGTCCAAACCGAGAGCCCCGCCAACCTGCCGGGACCGGTGGCCTGAGCCAGGGCTGGGGGAAGAGAGGGGAGGCAGGGGAGAGGAGGGAGGCAGGGGAGGTGCTGGGGCAGCAAGAGTGGGAGAGGCCTGGGGGCCAGTGGCCCAGGTGCAGAAGCAAACCACGGCCCAGGCAGCTGACTCTGGCAGAGGCTACCACGGGGGCTGAGGGGCCGAGATGGCTGCTCCTGCATGGAACCTCTGCTGTAGGGGCCAGCGCTGCTAGTTCCAGACCAGGATGCCCGGCAGGCCCTATCCCCGCTCAGCTGCATCTTGAGATGATGCGTGCTAAGGCCTGAGTATGCTGGAAAATTCCCCTTAGCTAAACCCAAACCCACAACGCAGCGCTCTCTGCTATCCAAGGGTCCGGCACTGAGAAGTCCAACTTCAAAGCCGGGGGGCTCCCTCTGCCTCTTCCCTCTTGATCCTAATCAGACTGATAACCAAAGTGGAGCCTGGTGAAGCCTCCCTCCGCAGCCTCCTGCTGCCACCCGTTGTCTGACTGGCAGGCGGGGGCTGGTGTTCCTGGCAAAAACAAGGAATGAGAGGAGGATCCTCGAAGCGTGACTCAGGTAGGGAGGGTCCACACCTGCAGTGGCAAGCCGCGCCCTGGCCCCTTCCCAGAAGCCAGCTCCTCGGAAGGAAGAAGGCACAACGTGCTGGGGCCAGGTGGGCTTTGGAGGGAAGGATGCGGGGGGGTGAACAGGTAGGCTGGGGCAGCAAGGACGTGGGGGTTTGACGCAGGCTTGTGACGGGGAGCTGGAGGTGGCTGAGCCTGGGATGGAGAGGAAGTGCCAAGCCACAGCTGATGGGACTTAGCTAGCGGGCTCTGGGCACTCGGGCCAAACACTTGTGGGCTGCGAAGAAGTGGACAAGGGCAGCAGGCAGAGCCAGGAGAAACCCAGAGCAGTCGTGGGCCTCGGCTGTCCCACTGCACGCCCAAGTCAGGAGTCCTCAGAACCCATGTGCCTGGCCACCTCTCAGCCAAGGTGTTGGCAGTTGTATGAATAGACCCCCAGGACTCAGAGGGACCCGAGAAGTGGCATGATGGTCTCTATAGCTCCAGCTTCCTCCTGGGCCTCAGGTCCTGCGCACCACATCTCCCCAGGTTCCTGATCTCAACACTCTCCCTCACTTAAGACCTACCACTGCCACCACCTCAGAATGAGACCCGACTCCCACCTCTGTGGCCCCAGCCTCATCCTCACTAGCTGGCCCAAGATAGCCCTGCTGGGCAAAGGGAGCAAACGAGTGGGGCATAAATGGTTCAGTATAAACGTCAAGTGTTTTAAAGGAATGTCCTCTTTTTGACATCAACATTCGAGGACATTGTGCCTCCCCCTCCATCGCATGTGTGTTTTACTTACAGGGCACTTGCCCTGGGGCTGAGGGCTCAGAGTGAGGGCTGGGCCTTAGCATCTCTCACGTTTTCTGGGGCTCCCAGGCCCAAAGCCTTGCAGAGTCACTCAAGTTCCTGCTGAAAACACACAGCCCCAAGTGCTACTTGTTGAGATTCTCATTCAGGCCCAGGAAACGCCAGGAGGACAGGTATTTTTCACACACACCCAGGTGATCGATCTGGAGGTATCTGGGAACAGCGACTGTTCTTCAACAGAACACGTTGTCTTTCTCCAGGCCTGTCTGCTAGTCCCTCTACCTAGAATGCCTTTTCCACCAATGGAAATGTGACTTCTCCTAAAAAGCTCAAAACTATAGTTCCACCTCCTCCAGGAAGCATTCTCTGATTTTTTTCCCATTGGAGGTTCACCACTCAGGGCCTGCACAACACGTTTTGAGTCTCACCCAGCTTGTTTTATAAACGCTGGTATAGGGACCACCCTCCTCAAATGAGACTGCAGATGGGCTGTGCCTTGTCTGCATGTGCACCCCACAATACCCCGCACGCCTGGCAGCTCTTACCCAGAGAGATCATTCTCGATCACCATCTTCTGCAGCCCAGCTGAGATGCTGCTGCTGCCAGAGCCAGGCGTGGAGGCCAGGTCGTTGGTCCCTGTGAGCTGCCCACTGCCCGGGGTGCTCAGTGCTGTGTGGACGTCCCTCAGAATTCGAGGCAGAGGCCCCAGTTTGGACACAATGCTCTGCAAAGACACAGCAAGGAGCAAGAGGCAGGTGTGACCTACTGGGGCGACTTGGGGAGGCCAGGTGTACTGCAGCCACTATAGTTCAAAACTGCTGAGGATTCAGTCCGAAATGCAGACCCTGCTCTCCCCCACCAGTCAGACCGAATAGGTTTGGGAGGGGGATGGGGAGCCCAGGAATCTGCCAATTGCATTTTCCCCAGCTCCCCAGATAGTTCTGGGATAGAGCGTGAGGCCCACAGGGAGAAACACTGACCCAGTCCAAGCCTTTCACTCTAGATCATCCTACCTCAGGGCCCCCTCAATGGAGGAAAGACCACGTGGAACCCCAGAATTCTCCACACTGACACTTCCCCATCCGAGAGGCCTCTGGGGTGGCCCCTCCCACGTCACCTACTCCACAGGGTGGGCTGGGGGCTGACCTACTTTGACACCTGAGCCCCAGTGGAAACAGTCCAGGCCCAGAGTAGGCACCATCACCTGCCTGTCAGACAATAACAAATGGACAGTTAGGCAGAGGGGGGCACCCAGGCTCATGTGAACACTGCTGTCACGGTTTAGATTGATGGTGCTAAGAATCCCAGGCCACAAGCCGAGCTGGGGAAGGGGACTCTGCCAGCACTGACATATTCACTGGCTTCCATGTAGGACTTGTGCAAAAACAAAGTGTGAAAACTTGTGTAGCTGATACAGCAGAGACTTGAGAGACAGACAGAACAATTACAAATCCTTGCTACACACTGTCAGCTCTCTTGGCCGCTGCCACCGTCTGTCCTTCCTGCCTGGTTGTACAGATAGAGGATGGGAGCCGGCACAGGGGCTCAGTAAGTGGTGGCAGTTAGAGTGACTGGTGGTGGCAGCAAGTGGAGGAAGAAAGGGCCTTGGCCCTCATTTCCATTTCTCCCTCCTGTGTCTCTCACAGCCAAAGGGCTGTGGACAGAATTGAGCAGCAATGATCGTATCAGCATCTGTTTGTAGGGAAAAGCTGGACTAACCCTAGTGTCCAGCAATAGGGAGCCAGTGAAATAAACTGTGCAGTCACATGACGGACAGTCTGCAGCCATTAGAAAGGTCACAGATGCAGTGCAGTATGGACTGCTGTGGAAAGATGCCCACAACACAGGGAGTGAGAAACATACGCTGGAGTGCACACGTAAGTTCTCACATTAAGACAAAAGGAAAAGAACTCCATGTTTGTGCCTGTGCACTTACACACACACACAGATGTATCTAGAACGCTGCACAGCAGAGCACGCTGGGTGGTCACTCTAGGGAATGGGACAGGAGCAGGGAGGCCTCCCCACCCTGCTCCAGCAGTAACTGCTTTTGTAAGGCGGTCTCTGGGAGCCCTAGACAGCAAAAGGTATTCCGGAAGTGGATCCTGGCAGACCAGGCCCTTGTTGGCAAGAACCTGTTCACAGCGTGGGCTGGGGAACCCCAGGCCATGGAGGGCACACACCAAATGGCTGCAGCAATGTCACAGGTGTCTAAGGAATAATCTTTTCAACTCATGGTCAAGGGAAATTCTGGAAAGGCTCGCAACTTCCTGCCTGACATGTGGAGGTGCAGCATCTTCAGTCTATCGTTTTCATATCAGTGGCCTCAAAACCCAGAGCAAGGCCATTTTTGGAGAAGCGGCTAAGTCTGATCACAGTTCTCACAGGTAGGGAGTATGCCTTCACATGTGGAATCCGTCTATCCAGCGCCCGTGTGTGGAGGCACAGCCGAAGCTCCGGGACCCAGAGTGGGCTCCCCGACAAAGTGCTGGCGAGTGCATGTGGCTCTCCCCGCCAAGGAAACAGGGCCCAGAGGTCCCTGGTGCGTGCCGAAGGGCCTGGGTTGGAAGCTCAGGTTCTGGCACCCAGGCAGGGCTGCTGATGCACATCATACAGGAGAACCTTTGACCTTCAGGGTCACCCTGGAAGGAAGAGCGCCCGCAAGCTGTGTGGCGATCTTTGGTGCCCCTGGCCCCATCAGAGCCCCATGGGGACAGGTACCTGCTCCAGCTGGCTGACGGCCTCCCAGAGCAGCGAGTGCAGGCTGGAGAGCTCACGGCCCAGGTCAATGTAGCCCTCAAAGCCCGCCGTGTTGGAGATGGTCTCGGGGTTGGAGATCTCCAGCAGGAAGCGCTGCATGTTGGTCCACTCATGCTCCAGGAACTGGTTCATGAACGACATGTACTCCTCCTTGCTGCCAAACCTAGAGAGACAGCAGACGGGGTGAGCGCCCGGCAAAGGCCGGCCGCAGATAACCAGCCCTGCCTGGAAGCCCCCTAATGAGACACACCCACCTCCTCAGCTCCTATCCCTCCTCACCTACTGTGGCCAGCTCCCACGCCACGCACTCCCCCAGCCAACCAACGTGCTCTGACTCAGGACCCACTTCCGTCATGGCCAAATCCAGAGACCCTTTTCCGGACCTTTCTCACAGGATCTGGAATGTTTTGCGGCCCTTACTCCCCATTCACTGCTCGTCACAATCTCCTTCCTCTATTCCCCCAAGTTTCGATGGCCTGGAGCACAGATGATTCTTGATCCATGCTCGGCCAGGTCTCTCTGCTAACCTTTCAGACACATACATACACAAGCACCTCCCCTCATACTTAGCCTGACCATGTCATGCCATAACCCCAAACCCATGCCCTCTTCCTGTACTCCCTACCCTCAGTGGACTCCACCATCCACGACAGAGCTGAGCCAGACGCCTGGCGCAGTCAAATCCTCCAGTCCTCCCTCCCCCTCCCCACAAGCAGCAAGACCTGCTGACTTCACCTCCTAATCACCCCTTGACCTTGCAGCCACCGCCGCCTCCCACAATGCTTCTACCAGGTCCTCCTCCAGGTCTCTCAGCTGCCAGCGCTGCTCCCTCCATCCCACCTGCCCCACTGCTGTCAGGCTGACCTTTTCAGAACCCTGAACAGATAAGGGCCATCCTCTCCCTTGTCTACAGCCCTGTGGTGGCTCTCACTGCCCTGCCTGGTCCTGAAGTCCCTGCTGAACTCCTGGGCCTCATCTCCTACTTCTCTGTGCCTGGCACTTGATGATTTAGGAAGGTCACAGTGCTTCATGCGTCCAGCACGCGGCCCCCTACAGCGTGCCCTGCCTCTGCTCGTGCCGTCCTTCTGCAAGCAGATGAACGCCTCATCCAGACATGCAGCTGGGGGAGCCCACCTTCGAGGAAGCCTGTTTCCCCCTCAACAAGCTTAGGGCCCTCCTAGGAGCACGCACATCTCTATCACCGCTCTGTTGCTTATCCTACACCTCTCTCCCCTGCTCAAGTGCTGAGCTGGGAAGGGCTGGGACCAGGTGTGATGCTGAGCCCAGCACAGAGAAGGCCCCAGATCAGGGCTCCATCTACACTTTGTGAATGAGTGACAACATAAACCAGCTCTTCCGTTTCCACCTACTCACTTGAAGGTACAGCTGAAAACACGAAAGTGCTTTATGAGCACAGACATCCTTGACAGCACCGAACAAGGACAGTCTGAAACAACCCTAGTGCTCAGCTAGGGGGGGCGAGTTAGGAAATATGAACCATTCTCCCTTGAAGACCCAGTCCCCATTCATTTCAAAACCAGACCTATGAATGTTAAGGATGAGAATCCTTACGATAAAATGTTAATTCAAAACAACAAGAGGAAAAAATATCTCATCTTCTCACCTTTGAAAATTAAGGAAACACACCAAAATGGCTTGTACTCTTAGGAGGGGGAGAATGGTGTGTGGAGGGGATTTTATTTTGAAAAAAGGAGGAGGGGAAGGACTGTGGATGACAGGGACAGAAGCAGGGCCTGTTGTGCACGCCTGCTCCCGGTGGGCTCCAGCCCGCCCTGACTCTGCCCATCCAGAGACCTGGCACTCACTTGGCGAAGTTGGCCAGGTTCTGGGTCACCTTGGCGATGAGGGTGAGGGTGCGGGCAGTGCGGTCATCGGGGTACTCCTGCAGCAGGTTGAAGAGTGAGGGTGACATGATGGCTGGGCAGAGGAAGCGCAGAAACAGGGAGGCACTGATGAGCCGCTCGCTGATGTCGGGCCGGCCGCGGCTGCTGCACTCCTGCCGCCACGAGGCAAACACCTCTTTCAGCTCCCGAGGGAAGACGCTGTGTAGAGAGAGATGGTGGTGGTGGGACCAGCCATCAGACAGGGGCCAGGACCAGAGGGTGCAGAGCAGGGACCTGGTTCCGGGTCCAACAGGACCTAAGTTCCAGCCCCATTCCACCCAACAGCTGTGTGAGCTCTGCCTGCCGCCTGCGCTCTCTGAGCCTGTTTCTCCACCATCCACCATCCATCTACCATCCTTAGGGCAGGGCAGCTGGGGGAGCTGAGACCCCGCAGGGAGGGCACAGCGTAGTGAAGGCAGAGTGAGAGTTCAGCACACGGAAGGAGCAAGGACACCCAAGCTCCCGTCAGGGTGGCGGGCTCTCCACGAAGGGGCCAAGTAGGATAGGGCCCAAGCATAGAGGAGCCTGGTCTCCATCCTAACCAGAGCCAATGGCAAGGGCCAGGCCCTGCCCACCTCCCCCACTGCTTCATCCTCCTCCCCAAACAGCAGGCATCCGGGTCTAGGGGAGAGTGAGGAGAACACAAGAGGAAGGAACCACTGCTCCTTGGCTCCCATCACTGGCTTTGAGACCTACCCCCTTCACTCCAATAACGTTACAGGAATTAGAGGTTTTCAGCAGAACTTGGAATAACCAAGAAAATGGGAATAGCCTAACCACGGGGTGAGAACACAGCTCTCCGCTTTCTAGACAGGGAGGGAAATGGAGGTGGTGACTTCCCCATGGGGACCCAGTGAGTGTGGCAGAGTTCCTGGTACCCGGCTGGGAGGCTCTCTACACTGAGCATCCCCAACCTGCCACAGCGAGGCCTTTCACCAGGCCAATGTTTAAGTGGCGTTCCTCTTTCCACCCTAAGAGATGTGCTTCCCGGTCTGGGGCAGGCTAGGACCCAGCACTTCCTGACCCAAGCCTGCGCCTGGCTCTGCCACTAGCTCAGGGTGCTTGACCCAGTGCCTGGCCCTCCCCAGGCTTCAGTTTCCTCACGCTTACATGGAGCAAGGCCTGCCCTGCTGAGCTCACAGAGCGATCTGAAGGCCATAAAGGCCCTGATCACTTTGAAAGGCTTCTGCCCAACACGCCCAGCAGGCTCTCCAGCAGTGACTGTGGCTGAACCAAGCAGGGCATGGCTGGCTGGAGAGGAAGTGAGGGCGGGTGGCCTTTAGCCCTGTCCTCGAAGTGTCCTTGAAGTGCCTGGCACAGGACTGGACAGGGGGCAGGTGAAGAGTGATGACATGTATTGATGCCTTGTCCAGAACAGAGAGGTACCTCTGGGCCTCTGATGAATGCCAGGAAGAGGAAATGGAAAGTCACCGTCCACGGATATGCTTCTCGTGTCCCACACCCAGCCCGCCCTGCAAACAGCGGGGCAGAGTGAAAACAGCGTAGCCCAAGGGTGGGAAGTATGTTCCCAGAGAGTTCAAGGCCTCTGGTTGCCCCTCCACCCCTGGTGCCAGGGGTCATTTCTTGGCCCAGCCTGTGGGGCCACGCTAGCCACCAGTGAACACCTTGTGCAGCCCAGGGGCAGAGGGACCTGAGATGGAGCACACCCCCCCCGCTGGCCCTGGCCATCCCCTCTGCCCCCCTCCCAAGGCTGTCACTCACCAGCCTCTCTCTGCCTGTCCTTTAGGAGCAGCAAACCATTCCCAGGCCACCCTCTGTGCCCAGCCCTGAGCTGGGGGATCCACCTGCCCCTGGGGTGCTCCCAGCACGTGCAGGAAATGGATTCCGATACAGGTACAATCCCACCGCAATGTGATCAGGGCCATGACAGAGGATGTCCAAGAGGGGTGAGCTGACCATGTGTCTGGTGACATGAAGGAAGGCCAAAGAGGGGAGCCAGGCACAGGCCTTAAAGCAGGAAGGGAAGGAGTGTGACCAAAGAAAGGAATAAGGTAGGGCTGAGGGGTTGGGGGGTCAGGAGAGGGGCCTGGGTAGGGAAAGGGGATGCAGGTTTCGAGCTGGAGCAGAGACGGAGGAGAAAATCCAGGTAGCTCCTCCAGTATGAAAATCACCCCACTGCTTAGGGCTGGTAAGGTCCCCCCAAACAGTCGTGCACGCCACCACACAACGTGGCTGTACCCTGCACCAGGTCAGCTGGCCACCAGACACACATGCCTCACTCAGGAGCAAGCAGGTGCCTGGCAAGTCGGTCTTGTGGGAAGTGGCCCAGGGACTCATTCTGGCCCTGACTGCGGTCCTGTATGAGTAGCCCGCTCTGCATATCCCTGTTCCTTTCTGGGGCTGGCAGCAGTCTGTAGACCTCTGTTCTATTTAAAGGCCAGTCCTTTCTTCTTTGTTCTCTCCAGTCCCAGCAAGAGGCCTGCCTGGTGTCTAGGCACCCACACAAGCCCCTGCTGGGCCTGATCACAGCCTGTGACGTGAGCACCAAGCTCCTACGTACACATACGGAGTCTCAGATTAAGCCATCCACACACCCCAGGCAGGCCTTCATCAGTCTGGCTCCCTCTGCAGCCACTGAACCTAAGATACTGTCCAGCACACACAGTGTGCTCGCTGATGAACAAGTGCAGTGGACTGCCAGGTCCAAATCGTGTCCTGCATAGATTCTGGAACACTCCCGTATATTTTAGAGCCCCCAAGGGACCAGGACGGGGATCTGGCAGCCCAGCAAGACTCAGTGGGGTCAGGCAGAGGGTTGGTTTCCAATGCAAAAGCTGCCATGCTGAAGCTGTGTGGGGCTGCAGGTGTGTCACCGCCATCTCCTTAGACTTCAGCTCTCTGGTTTATTAAGTCAGGCTTAACAGAACAGAGCCCCTTACGGAGCTGTCTGAATGAGAATTAGCGCACGCATGCCTAGCCTAACACCTGGCACACTGAGGGCACCCTGACAGAGAAGGTGAGTAAGATGCCAGGGTGGGGAGGCCCTGGGTAGCTGAGCCCAAGAAGGGAGTGTGGGGCAGCACTGACCAGTAGGAGTTGATGATCTTGCAGAAGGCCAGCTCGCAGCACATCTTGAGGTTGCCCTGGTGCTCCGGGAGGTCCGCGGCCGAGCACTTGCTTGGGTCCACCTCACAGTTCTCATCTGACTCATACAGCGCTTTGATGAACTCACCTGTGGCCGAGAGGGCAGCGAGGGGGAAGTGAGGACCTGGTGGGCATGCCCCACCTTCTGCCCACCTGCCAGCCCACATCCTCCCTACCTAGTGCGTCCTGCAGGTACTTCTGGCCCACCAGCTTAAGGTACTCCTCAATGGCCTTGGTGGCCAGCGTGTTCTCCCGGAAGATGAGATGCTCATTGTCCCCACAACGGTCCACCTCTGACATCATCAGGTCCGTCAGGAAGTCCTGGGGAGGCAGGAGGAGACAAGAGTGGACCTGAGCAGGCTTGGCAGATAGGACCCTAGGATTCCAGACATACTCCCAGGCCAGAAGGCCCTGCTTCATGAGGCTGTTCCATCGCCAAGCTGCTGGTGCCCACCCTTGGGGCTGCATGGGAGTGAGGGCAGGGCAGCCTGGTGAAGGGAGATGCCTAGCACTGGTGACACCAGAGCTGGGTCCAGGGATCCAGGAGGCAGGCCTGGGCAAGAGCACGCCACATGGAGCCACAAGCCCCCGGCATCATGGCCAGACCAGCTGGACTCAAATCCCTGGTTCAAGCCTGACCAGGTCTGGCTGGGTGACCAGAGAAGAATTCCCCCTCCCATCACCATCAGTGCCAAAGAGGATCGACACATCGCCCTCTCCCCATCGCACAAGCAGCTGCCACTGTGCACTCGTTACTCTGATGGGTCTCCCACGCCAGACACAGACTCACTCTGTGCAGCCCCACAGGGAAGGAGCAGAGAGAGGCCGAGGCTGTCCAGCTGCCCCGGAAGGCAGTGAGCCAATGCTTAGACGGCGAGAGCATGGACCTTGGCTTGGGCGGAAGGCGGTGGCACCACTGCCCACCTGGCAAACCCAGGATGGCAGGGTTTCACTGTGTGGATCCCTGACTTCCTCGGAAGGCAGCCTATCAGTCTCACATATAGTGTCATGGGAAGACCCTGGGAGGGAGTGTGAGCCCACGCCCTCCCTCCTGACTGCAGGGAGGCTGCACCATGAACCTGCTGCACCCACCCAGGGGGAACTCCCTCCTCCTGGAGCCCCCAGCTCCTCACGCCCACAGCCAACCTGTGACTTGAAGGAGGGGAACAGGACAGTAGAGAGCTGGACCCAGGGGAGGGTGACAGGGCAGGGGCCAGGCAGCACAGAGGCTGCCAGGTGGCCAGCATGGACCAGGTGCTCTGGAAACTTCTCACTCCAATGTGCACAACCTTGAGGCCCTCTGGAATCACAAGTGGCCCTTGAAATACAGAACTGAGCTCCAGGCCCAGGAGACGTGGCCTGGCCAATGGAGGGACAGGAGGGGGTTGGGGGAAGCTGCCGTTGGCCTCTCTGGGGATCACACAGCCTGAGGATCCCTACTGATGATCTCTAGGGTCCCCTTCTCTGAACACACGAAGCAGAGGTAAATACTGCATGGGACCCCATAGCTCCACTGGGCTCGTGTACTCCTGAGGTCGGTGCCAGGCCCAGGCTGGGATGAGGAGGAGCTCTCCTTTGAACTCGGACCCAAGGAGGGGGAAAGGACACAGAATGGGGAAGTGACCTGTGCAGGGCCACAAAGCTACCAGGGCCAGATCTGGCCCAAGTCTCTTGCTCCCCATGCCCCGTTGCACCTGCTGCACTGAGGGGAGAGGAGGATGGCAGGGACAAGTCCCTTGGGGGCCGAGGACAGAAACTCTGAAAAGCCACAGCCCAGGAGAGAGGAGCCTAGGAGAGGGCAGCAAGGTGCTGCAACGCCCACTCGCACAGCCCTCACCTCTCAGCTGCTCTGCCTCTCGCACCAAGAACGCCCATCAGTTCCCAAGTGTTCACAGAGCGGGAGCTCAGACGCATCACCCCAGCAACACGAGTTACTGCCTATTCTTCTGCTGCTCAGGGCCCACTAGGGGAGCCTGGCTTCTACCTTCATGCACAATGAGCACCTCAATTTGCCTCTTGTCTTAGCTGTGAGCCCCAAGTGCAAAGGTCCCTTCAGATGGGAGCTGGCTTCCTGGTCAGCCCAGCCCTCGGGAGCCAGGTATTGAAAGAACAGACACGGCAACAGAAAAGGACACCACTGGTGCCCCTGCTGCCTCCCTGGCTCCCTCTCTGGGGCCAGAGCTTCCTTGATTCACTGTTTCCCAGCACCCCCTCCCAATGTTGGCCAGGAAATCAAGGACAGTTCAGACACACATTCAACTCACAGCCTCGCCCAGCCAGGTGTGAAGGCTGGGGTGGGGGCAGGAGGTGGTCCAACAGCATAGAGGACACCGAGTGCTCCCCCTGCCCCACGGAGCCCATGCTGAGAAAGGTCATCTCCCGGATCCTGCATTTGCTGCACACCACTAGTCCAACAGGCAGTGGGGCTCTGGAGGGCCTGAGGGAGCCCAGGGCCTTCTGGGAAGGGGTAAGAGGATAGGGCCCCACTGGAGCCATGTGCCCAAGGCCTGGCCCCCAACCTGTGCCTCCCCCGCCCCAGGCTGAAGGTTCAGGACCTTGACATAGGGCAGTCCCTCAGCCCATCACAGGCCACTCAACTCTCAAACCACACCACGTCCAGACGGCAGAGGCCCAGCTCCTGAGGCCTCCTGCAACATGGATGGACCCCACGTCCAGTCCTCCTTCTCCACAGCACACCCTTCAGACAGCTCCCCTCAAGGAAGGGGCAGGGTGAAGAGGGGAAAGTCTGCCTTTGAGGCCCACAGAACCACACTCCACTGAGGTAGGCGATGGAGAGCCTTCCTGAAGGAGCCCACTTATCTCCAAAACCAGGTGGGTGGGGGCTGAGGCGTGGTCTGGCCAGGCGGGGAGTGGAAGGGGAAGAAGGTGGGGAGGGGAGAGCTGGGCCGCTCCAGCCCTGAAGCAGGGACTGCCTGAATGGCTGTAGACAATCCCTGTCTCCGTGGGCTCTGGGGCTGGAGACGGCTGTAGCCATGGCTGCAGACCATCGGATGGCTGCGCACTGCGCAGCAACGAGGGGGTGACCCAGCGTGTGCTGTGTCTGTGAATCTGTCTGGGTGTGAGAGTGAGGGGTGAGGTGGGGGTTGTGACAGTGGCTGTACCCTGGTGGTCACCTTTTGGGGATGTCAACCAAACTCAATACCTCACAAGATATGTGTGTCTGGGTCATGACCGATGTGCTGGGAGAGGCTGGCCACGTGACCTGCTTCCCTCGAGCCTCAGGGGCCAGCCCTCTGGGGCAGTGGAGGAGGCCCCTAAAACCCACTTCCGCACTAGAAGCCACAGTCCCGTCCACCACTCCAAACCTGCCTCAGCGACCAGCTTCAACCAGAGGAGGAGCATGAAGCCCCCAATCCATGATGCAACTCTTGGGTTTAGGGAGCCCACCTAACTGTGACCAGTGGCTCCATAAGAACTGAAATCCATGATGAGGACATGGGGAACGGCAGCTGACCTAGTGCACATCACCAGGCCTTTCCACGGGGCCATGTGATGTGGGGGACCCTGCCCGTCGCCCGCACACGCACCTTCACCTTGCCTGTGCTCTGCAGGATATGCACCAGGGCCGACGCCATCTCCTCCTTGGTCTTGGCACTGAGGATGGGCTCGAGGGCTGCACAGAGCCCCAGGTAGTGGTTGGTGATGTGCTCGGCAAACTCCTTGTACATCTCCATGGGCAGGATGGTGATGGTCTGGTAACGTGCCTTGATGCGGATCATGGGACCGGGGCCCTTGCCGCCCTTGGGGTTGGGCGTCACCACTGGGTACCACTTCTCCACGAACTGCCGCCCAGCCACTGAGGCAGCAGGCAGGCTCACCAGGCCCAGGTAACTGTTGCGTTCCTTCTTCTTCTTCTTGTCAGTCTCCCGGTACAGGTGGACGGTGACGGTGCGCAGGGGTGGCAGGTTGTGGAACTCAAAGTGCTCGCCCCAGAAGACATTGTCCGTCTTGAGCTTGCCCGTGGTGCGGGCATAGAGCACATCGTCCAGGCACAGCTCACACAGGTACTTCTTCTTGGCTGGCAAGTCCTTGGCCTCAATCACCCACAGCTTCAGGATGTGCTCCACACGCCGGCTGTTGTCCTGCACATGCACAAGGGGGGCTGCGGTCATTGGGGGACTGGCCACCCACCCACCACCCAGCCTAGAGCTGGGCAGGGCTCTCAGATCTGGGAGGGGCTTGGAAGCTGGTGGGCAGGGCCCAGGCCCTGAGAGGCTGATTTCTGCTCAGCCTCAGACCAGCTCACTGACCTTGGGCAAGTGACTTAATCTAAGTCTCGGTTCCCTTTTATATAAAACAGACTAGCAATCAAATAAGAGGTTAACACAATGCTTGCTACAAAACAGGCTACTGTACCATTTATTAGCTCTTCTGAAGTTTGCTGGTCTATAAAGTCACTTAAGAGGTGATCACTGCTAAGGCATCCTTAGCGATATCACGGTGACCAGGACGCAGTTTAGGCCCTCTAGTCAGCCAGGGAGACAGACACAGAAGCAGGTGATTCTAGTCAGGGTCCCATGAACATGATGGGGGTAGCCTGGGGGCAGTGGGAACATAGAGGGCTCTAGCCTGTGCTGGCAGTTCTCATCTGCAGAAGGAGATGGGTGTCTAAGCTGGAATTAGATGGATGAGCAGGGATCGGCCACGGGGGAAGGGGCACAAGAGTTCCAGGCAGAAGGACAGCAGCACTCCTCAGCCTCCTGTGTGTAGCTTCGAGGACAGAGGCTCACAGAACCTGAGTCAGCCTGGCCAACTCGAACTCCTCTGTCAGAGCCCAACACTACTGCCCACTCCGTGCAGGCTGGCCCCACTCCCCAATCCCAGCCACACCAGAGATCCCTCCCTCTGCTCCCTCAGGTCCAAGTCTGCGCTCTGCTCTGGGTCTAACCCCAATCCCCCATGCTTTGGAGAGAGGACACGAGGTCTACCTTGTTGGGGTGCACCGCGCGCCGCAGGTTCTCCATCCACTTATCCCGCTCGGCTGCTGACCGGCAGGAGAAGCACTTGCTTCCTGATGATGTTGTCACCTGTGGGCATGGACAGGACAGTGTCACAGGGGAGGGAAGGCAGCAAGGCTGGGCACGATGGAAGACGTCTGGGGTCTGGGGGGCTTCAGCCACCAGGTCTGCACCACGGCCTCAGGGAAGAGGCAGAACAAGGCTCACAACGACCCCTACATCTCCTGTTTGCAGGTAGTGCACTGAGACCCACCATCCCAGGGCAAGTCAGAAATAGGGGGGTGGCCCAGCGCCGTGTGGCACCTGGTCCCGGCTCCTCACCCCTGCTTCAGCACCCTCTGTCCATAGAAAGCATCTTTCTGACTCCAGCCTCACTCTCTGGGAGAGAAGGTATGGGCCCCCTGCCCAGGTCAGGGGGCAATGCTTCAACAGAGCTTCCTTCTACAGGTGGAGGCACCGAGACAACCTCAGGTAGGCACAAGGATCACTTCAGTCCTCAGCTGACACCTTTTGACAGTTCCCTTTTGCCAAGCGACAGCGAAAACAATGATGGCCACAGAGACTTAACATTTGGGGGTCAGCCTAGAGAAAGGAGAAGTGGGCTGTCTGGGTGTGCTGGGCCCTGGGCTCCTCCTGCCTGGAACTCTCACCTTCCCCTCGCTGTCTGACTCTTGCTCAGCCTCTGGTTTCCTCCAGGCAAGGGAGTCCAGCCCGAGCTGCACCTGCCCCCTGTCCCTGGCAGCAAGCCCAGGGCTCTATGGGGGGAAACCAGACTCCTTATCCAGCCTTTCAAGGGCTTGCACAAGCCACAGCACCCCCAGCTGTGGACAAGTAGCCAGGAAGCATCTTCTGCCAGTCCTAGGCAAAGAAGTCAGAGCCCAGACGAAGCCTGGCTGGAGCAGGAGTCTCGAACCAGAAACAGCACCCAGTGGGCAAAGGGTGTAGGGCAGATGCCAGGCACCACTCTATTCTTTCCCTGGCCTGGGGGTGCCAGGAGGTTGCCACACTGGTCCCCAGGTGGCTGATTTTCATTACCAGGCTCATTCTTCTATTAGAGAGCTCCCCTAATTATGCAACATTGTTGGGGGTGGGGGCAGAGGGTAGGAAGCTTCCCAGAAAGAGAGGTGGGAGGACAATATGAATAATTACAGAAGCAACTGGGAACTCCCAGGAACACCTACAACATTAGTTGCCCTAGTCCTGGCTTGGCCTCAGCCTCATTGTGTGGCCTCTGACATCTTCTTGCCCTGGCTAGGCCTCAGATTCCTTGTCCATAGTGAGGGACTGGACAAGTGATCCCCAGGTACAGCCCTGCCAGGTTGGGTGGCTGGCCCTCTACTCTCAAACCTTGGGTCACAGAATGCTGGGCAGCAAACGTTCTAGCTCATTATCAGAGAGGGAAACAGGCCCAGAAGAGGGAGCACTCTCCATTAGCCCACCCTGCATCTGAGGGGTTTCTAAGGAAGGGTGGGCAGGCTTAAGACATGGGCCCTGGGCTTAAGCAGGTCTATACAGGCTTTTACTCCCTTACTCCCACCGGGGCCTCCTGCCCTGGCCAGCACGAGGACAACGCTGGCCCATTTCCAAGGAGCGCACAGAGCAGGAACGAAGTCCCCCATCTCCCAGCTCCACCTGGTCTCCTGGGACGCAAAAGCTCTGAGCAGGTTCTGCTGCTGTCCCAAAAAGCCTGGCCCCCACTGAGGCCACAGAGCACTCCAGGAGGGTGTCTGGAAGAGACCTGGCCTCGCGAGACGAGGATACCAGCACCCGACCACACCCTGCAGAGGGACCCACCTCGAAGCAGTAGTCCTGGCCTAGGATGCTGCTGTGCACGGGCTTGATGACAACCTCCTCCTCCATGCTGAGGTCCAGCGCCTCCACCGCGCTGCTGGGGCTGAGCAGGGACTCGTGGGAGCGAGACTCCTTCAGCCTCGGCATCAGATGGGACCTGGGGGGTAGGCAGTAGGTGTATCGGGCTGGGCCTGCCACTCTCCTCTCTCCTTCTCCCTGCCCTGTCCCCTCCCCTCCCCTCTCCTCCAGGAAGCCTGCGCAGAGCCCCCAGCTGGAGGCAACCAATCCTCCTCTCAACTCCCACTGTCCTTTCTGTCTTAAGGAGACTTGGGAGGAGGGGGCATTGCAGCGCTAGAGGCACAGAGACCCGCCCCCACTGTGGGACTCTGGGTAGGTCGCCCAGCCTCTAATGAAGCAAGTGGCTGAGGATTAGGCCACCACTCAGGAGTGGAAAGTCAGCACTGAGTGTTGGGTAGGGTCCAGCCTGGCTCCTAAGCGGCCTCAGAGACACACAGCAAAGAGCTGACCCTTCCCCACCTCCCCTCCGCCCTGGTCCCCATCCAAGACCGAAGCAGTCACCCATTTGTCCAAAATGTCATTGCCGAAGAGTCCTTTCTCATACACCATCCCACTTTACCCACCAGCCCCACTCGAGGCAGGGGAGCCACAGGACATCTGCTGCTCCCATCTTACAGATGAGGACTGTGAGGCTCAACATGGAGTGAATGCAGCAGCCTCTGCACAGTACCCGAGATGCTGAGACTCAGATAGGGTCCACCTGCTGAGGTTCAGGGGCCCAGGCCAGGGTCAGTAGGCCCAATACAGGCACAAGGTAGCAGAGGTAGCTGATGTCACCTGGTGCCCAAATGGAACCCGGACCTGGACTGTCTCTGACAGACCTGACCTTGCACCTGGGCCCACAGCTCACCTGCTGTGAAGCCCTGGGCAAGTCACTTGCCCTCTCTGAGCCTTGGATTCCTCAGCATATCACATGGAAAGCATCTCAGACAGCACTGCACCAGTGCTTGGTAGAGTCCACCTCAGAGAGGTCAATGTCCCTTTCCAGAGCACACAGCAGTGCCCCACTGGAGCCCCTCTATAGCTGGGGCAGAGGAAAAGTCTGAGGACCAGCCAGGTCTGCTAAGACCTCCCCCGGCACCGACGCTGGGCAGGCCTTGCCCCTACTCATGTCCACAGCCCAAAACCATAGAGCTGACACAGACCCTGCCCTGGGCAAAGCCCACCCAGAACTCCTTCCCCCAGCCACTCTGCCTCTCAGCTCCTGGCCTCCAGTGACCCAGGGCTCAGTCTATCATTGTCTCCTTGCCTTGCCAAAGACCCCTCCTCAGGTAAGTGAGGCCTGGCAAGGTCGCCACTTCCCCCTGAAGGGCACGCACCCTGTAACCCACTTCCATGACCACCTAGAGTAAGGAGGGCTGAGGCCCACTATGTGTGGGCTCAGGAATCCAGAGATGAGCCACAGGGGCCCTGCCCAGAGGGCCTCACAGGCTGACAGAGGCCACTCCCCAACCCGCTGTCCATGGCAACAGCCCTCCCTGACATGGAGTCGGTGCAGGCACTGCATGGGAGCCAGAGCTGGAACTGCGACCCCAGCCCTTGGGGACCCCAAAGCCCAACCCAAGAGACCCAGTCAGTCTGCCCCCAACGGCTCCCCTATGCCCAGCACAAAGCTGGCACACAGTAGGGCTCAGATCACTTAAGCTGAATGGATGGCCTCAGGCAGGACTTCTGAAAGCTGGAGGGGAATGGACAGACCAAAGGGAAGCTGTGAGACAGGCTGAAGTCAGGTTAGAACCAACCTGACCCTTCTGGGGCTCACACATGGAACCTCTCAAGGAGGCTAAGCCCCCTGGTCTGCACAGCTGTGATGCTTCTGCTCCCCTATTGTCCTCTCTCTGGGCAGCAGCATCTCACAAACACTAGGTGCTAACAGGTTTCTTCCCTCGATGAGCGCTCCAGGCCCTGCTCCATGGCCCAGCCTCCTCCCCATCACAGCACTGAGCAATGCCGTGGGTGGGTCTGCCGTCCATTCAGTTGAGATTCCACCCCAGGTCACTCACCTCAAGGGGCAGATTCCAGGCCTCCCTCCCAGGATGGGGCGTCATGCCTCAGAGCAAGAGATGTCTTGTGCCAGATGCTAGGGAAATCACCCAGCCTAGGAAAGCCTGAAAACCCAGCCTGCAGGTCTGGATCAGGCTGCTTTCTGGCCCAGCCTGGAAACCCCTACCAGGCAAGGATGCTGGGAGCCAGGGCGGGTGGAGTAGGGACCCAGGAAGAGCAAAGGGAGGAGCTGGCACACAGGGGCCGCCTCCTGCCTGGGGTGTCTGAAGGAGCTGAGGAAAGGGAGGCACGGTTCAGGGACTGGGCCTGCCCAGGGAGACCGAGGGGGGCGCTGGTTCTATAGCCTAGGAGCCCGGCAGGACCAAGTCAGACCCCAAAGCAGGCAGAGCCTGGTGTGGCTGCAGAACCCTCCTCTTCCTTCCCCACCATCCTGCCCCACAAGCTCCCCAGCTGACTCAGGCGTCACTGAAGGTTCCTGGCTGAACAGGGGGCTGTGGGGAAGCTGGGCAGCCCTGACCCTCTCCCCCTCCCCAGGGCTTCTCCAAGTTGAGGGACATGGTGCAGAGGCTGCACTCACCTCTGCAGCCCAAGCTCACTGGGAGGAGGCGGAATGGGGGCAGGGCGGGGTGCAGGGAGGCCCAGTAGCTACTCCAAGGTCTGCCAGGCTGCTCCTGCACAGCACAGGGCCAGGCTCTGACCGCTGCCCTGTGTGCTGGGGGCAGCTCCAATGGGCCTGTGCTCTCTGACTCATCCGCAGATGCACATCATTCCCACTCAGCCCGGAGTCTACCTGCCACCCCTCCTCCCCATGAGGCTCCTGGTGGGAGAGAAAGGGGCACCTATTCATCAGGCACTTACATACAGCTCTGAGCCCAGAGGGAGCTGGTCTGCTGTGACGCTGCCAGGGGGGACCTCCTGACAGAACTAGGTGTGCCCGTGGTGGTGGCTGATAAGATGACTAGCGCTCAGGAAGGGAAAATAGTCACCTGGTCACTTCCTGTACCCAGCAGGACCACCTCACGGCCTAAGAACCACCTCCTCCAGGAAGCCAGCCCTGTCCTAGGCCTGCAGCACCCCGACCACTCCACACCAGGGACCCCGACCCTGTCAGTCACCCAAGGGAGGCCCTGACCCCGCCTTGCCTTTGCCTCAGAATTGCAGACTGCATCGTTGGGCCACTTCCTCCCTCACCTCCAGCCTCTGCCTTCCCAGGCCAGGCAAGAAGGCCATCAAGGAGAGAGGGAGGGAGGGACTGCAGACTGCCCGGGCTCTAAGGGGGCAGTAAGCGGGCATGGTCTCCCTGCCTAGGAAGCTCGGTAAAAAGGAGGTGAGCACGTGCTGGCCTCTGCCTCGCACCCACTCCACTCCCAGGAGAGGGGCACTCCTAGGTACCCACCTCCACTCAGCACAGGGCTCCCAGCTGGTCACCTTCACATCTCTTTTTGTCATTTCAATTACACACAAGCCTGCCAGGAGTATTCATCTACCCATTTTATAGAAAGGGAAGATGGCCTCAGGGAGGAGCAGTCACATGATCTGCCCACGGCCCCCTGCTGCAATGGGGACCCAGGTTGGTCTAGGGGCCCTGCCATGGCTGCCCGTGTGGTGTGGAAATCTAGGGGCTGATGCCATTGTGTGCAGGGCCTCTGTGTCCCCCAGGCTCTGGGTCAGGGTCCTCCCTGCCACCCCAAGGCTGAGGTGGAAGAGAAGGTGGCCCAACACTCCAACTGTGTGGCCTCCCCAAGTGCCCAGCTCAGTCTCATGACGGCTTCCCCTGATGGCCTCCTGTGGTCCCTAGAGACCAGAGCCTTGGTCCCCTCAGTGAGGCACCACCAATGAGGGCAAAAGGCCTTTGCACAGAGGTCTCCACTGGCCTGTGCAGATCACTTCCGCATCCAGGTCTGAGCTATTTCTCACAACAGCCCAGCCAGGGATGCCACATGACTGCACGAGACACCCACTCTCTACCTCCACTCGCACCACACCCTGACACATGACCTAGCCTCTCCTCCCCAGCTGGTCCCCACCACCCAGGAACCCCCTCCCTCTGGGGGGCCTTGGCCTGTGCTGTTTCCTGAGCTCCACCACCTTTCCCTCCACTTCTCTAGCTAACAAAACGCTTCTTCCCCAGTTTTCAAAGCCCAGCCCAAATGCCGCCACCACCAGCACGCTGGCCCTGGTCTCTCCAGACAGACAGGAGTGCACGCTCGGGCCATGTGGCTGAGCCCCGCTCCACGCCACTTTCCCCGTCTCCTCACCTAACACTCATGACGACTGGTGAGGACTGAGGTGCGCACCTCGGAAAGCCAGGCGGCCTGCCCAAGACTGACGGCTGGCAAGCAGCCGAGCAGGACCTGAACCCCGTTCAGCAGAGTCCACGACTAACTCCATCAGCTCAAGGCTCGGCTTTTCGTTTCCCCACAGGCAGGGAAAGGCCACAGCCAGCTGACCTGCTTGCCGTGACCCACTCAGTACAGGGCTGGCTGGGGTGGGGCAGCCTCTGCCCAGAGCCCAGGAGCCCAGGAAACGTGGGCACGGCAGGGGCGGAGCCGCTGCTGGAGATACAGCCAGGTCCCAACAGCAGCTCATTGTGAGGGCCGGGAGCGGGAACAACGGGACATTGTCCTGGCTCCTGGGCCACAGCCTTATCTGATAGCCTTCCAGCCAACCCAGGAGCTGTTTTTCAACTCCATCCTTTTTTCTCTTATAAGGTTAGTGACACAGAAGTTTAGCAAATTCCCCATTATTTCAAGGAGGGAGGAGACCCAAAAATAAAACTTGCGATAATTAAAAAGCCCTGTCTGACATGGGGAGGATGTTCCCAGCTACGGGCGGGGGTTGTACAGCCTGGGAAGTAAGAGACTCAGAATCTCTCTCTCAATCTCAAAGGGGCAGAGGGAGCTGCCCTGCGTGCCCCCAGAGGGCAGGGCTGGGACCAGGAGAGGCCAATTCCAGCTCAGTCACAGCTGTCCCCACATGGGCCAGGTGGGTTTGGTTTTAAAGGGAGCAGGCACCCAGTCTCTGGAAGTACAAGCAGAAGCTGGGAGACTCCTTGTAGACAGCACATGCTGTGGA